GGCAAGAGATCAAGGAAATCTAAACAGCAAGAGAGACAGTGGGAGGGAGAAAAGTGGGAAACTTTCAAACCAAGTTTCTGCTTGGACACCTGGGTGGATGATGATGCTATTCACTGAGATATGCAGGAGGGGTAGTTTGAGGGAAAATACGGCGCGTTTAGTTATGGACCTGCTGAGTTGTAGGTGCCTGTGTATCATCCAGGTGGCAGTGTTGAGTAGGACATTGGATAGGCAGGTGTGGAACTTAGAGGAGACATCTGGAGAGAGTCTTGAACGCCATCAGCACACAACAGTAATAGAAATCCAGGAAGAAGGAGTGTCAGTGGGAGAATGGTGAGAACAGTTTCTGGGAGCAGGATGTGACGGAAACCAGCCGCAGAGGATGGAGGGGAAGGTACAAATGGGCACAGCGCCGAAGAGACGGTAGTGTGGGAGGGGACATGAGGGCCAGTGAGAGGTTTTTAAGGAGAGGAGAAACATGTTCAAATGCTAACGGGAAAGGATAAGATGAACCTGCTAGGCAGCTCGGTATCTGTCCATGGCCGTATCTGGTCTCCACTTTTACTTTTGTCTTTCAAATATAGAACAAGTTTCTCTTTATCAACTCTAACTCAGAATCGTACAAAATGAAATTCTAGGAAATGCAGTCCTCAGTTTATCCAAGTCTGTGTAGCACAATCCAGCACAGTCCACCCCTTGTCAACTTGGTATCTACGCACACTTCTTTAGACACATTTAACTTGCAAATAAAAACAACAACATGACCATGCATTTGTATAACAAAATTCAACTATCCATTCAACTAACATACAAACTTCTCCTAATGAAAGGATACACGAAGTCCACTTCAACCGTTCTGAAGAGCAAAACTTTGCCATCCATCTGGCACTAAACTGAGTCTTCAAAAGGCTATTACATAATTCAATCAGATCAGCTACTTCCAGGTGATGGGAAGACTAGTACTGCACCACTCATTCTCTGTAAAATGAGTTCTCTGGTTAAAACACACACATAAACACACACACACACACACACAAATGCACTTCCTCTTCCATGGTGGAAATGACCCAGTGTATAATCAGCCTGATGCCATGCCTGAAAAGTAGTGTCATATCCCCTGTTAGCAGCTGGGACTCAGCAGTGGAGGTAAACAGACTGGCTTTAATGAGAGGAAGTCCACGTTGACAAGATGACCTGTTCTGTGGACATCAGTCAGCCTCTTTCCTCAGTCACTCCTGTCCTTGCCCAGTCCACTCCTACATAAAGTGGCCATGATTATCTTGTTTGTCTGATTAAGATCTTCTCTGGTAAGACCGCTCCTTGGTGAGCATTAACCTGGGCCACAAATAGTATCATATTCTGTCCTTATTCAGAGGGGTCTATCCTCAAATCTCTTCTCCATATTTCATTTCCTCCAATTCTCCAATCATCTTCCTTCCAAATCTGAGACCAATCAACCAAACCATTAGCTATTGCTCATAAATTAATGCACATCCATACCTTTGGTCATGTCTCCTTCTGGGCAAATGAACTAACCAGGTGCACTGGCTGGAGTTTGGCCACTGCGAAGATTTCTCTTTCACATTGTCATTCATGGCCACACGAGTGGGAGGGTAATGCTACAGGTATCCAATTTCAGCTTCTGCCAACTTTTTTGGTAGAAATATTTATAAATTTGTCCCACATGATCAGAAAGGTTGCCCCATGAGGCCAAAGGGGCAGATTGAGAGAGGAGACACCAATATAGCCGAAACAGCATTTATGGTCATCTGAATCACTTACTAATGAAATTTACTTGTGTCTTCAGGACCTGCTTGAGCCTCATCTCTTACATATCACTCCCATTTGATGAAGTGCTGCTCTACACACCCAAGATTGTTGGGTCATACGTCACCCACTTTGCGATTGGCATCTCAGGTTTCATGGTAACTGGTGGCCCATAGTCAAGTGTTTCGTCTCTTGTAGGGCCCAAAAACAAGCCAGAAGCTGTTTCTCAAAAGAATACTAATTGGGAAAGGATGACAAATCTGCTTCAAAATCTCAAAAGGCCTTTGCTATTATTCACCTACAAAGGCTTGTTTAATGCTCTATAATGAAGCTTTGTCAAGACACTCTAAGAACCATTAGATCTTCTGAGTCAGACAACTGCTTCTAGTGGTCTTTACCAATGGGCATTGAGAAAAAAGGATTTGCTGTATCAATAGCTACCGAGGATATGTTGTTTTACTTCAGTAAAGAAACCACATCTGGAACAGTTGGAGAGAAAAGTTATTGGCAAAGTAAAAGAGAGCAAGAACAAGTTGGAACCTCTGCATCTGTCCATCAACACACCTGACTACAATGACCTTCAGAGACTAGTGGCTGCTGCTCTACTTCCACCTTCCATATTGGGGCGAATTCTTTTGACCAACTCTAATTCTGAGTCACAGAGTCAAGGGAATAGTGGGAAACGCAGTTCCCAGCTTACCCAAGCTGACCCAGCACAATCCAGTATACTGGGTTTTGTGTAGTTTTATTTTCTATTCTTTAACAGGCACATACATATACATTACGTTTATTCTTTTGCATGTATGATTTAGTTCATAATTTAAAAAGAAGATTTTAATACCAATTTAAAAGTTGATGCATAGAAGCTCTTGCAACAGGGAAATTTGTTAAAAAATAAATTTATCTGTGACTGGGAAAAATTACATTTTATATATACCATACTCTTCCTTCTTCTAAAAAGGAGATTCCTTTTCTGAGTGCTGAGATGAGTCTGAGGATGCAAATTGGAGAGGGAACTATGAGATGGGGGGTGAGGTGACAGTTTGGGATGAGAGGCCCAAGAGGAGTGTGTGTTTGGCGAAAAATCCTGGAGGGAGGAGTAAGATTTTTTTAAAAGAAAGGGAAGTTGCTATCAACATGGAAAACTGGGGAAAGGACAGAGACATTTAAAGGGGATTTTTTATTAAGGTTTACAATGTGATTTTGCAATATAAAATCCCTTCCCCTGATCCCATTAAATTTTCAGTAAAATATCCATTTCTCACCTACAGACCTGTATTGGGAGTATGTGAAAGTGCTGAGTGCAATCTCAATAGTGGGCTTGGAGCAAGAAGCCTGCTATGTCGTTATATTGGAAAAAAAGCAAGGCACTGTGATTAAATTGCTGTGGGCAGTTTCTGCCCTGCTAGAAGACACCCTGAGGCAGATTATCCTTTCTTTCAAGGAAATAAAGCGCTGAACTGACCCTCCAGTTACACAAACATAAAACAAGCTTCCACCCATTGTTCTCGGGAAGCACTGTATTGTAACCTGACTAAAGGTTTTTTAGCCTAAAAAGTTAGGTGACTGTGGTATAATATAGATTGCCCCAGCTAGGTTTTAGAAGCCAGAATTATACATCTACAGACTTTGTTGTTTCTTTGGGAGAAATGTTTATTTTCTCTGTATAGAATTCAACCTGATTTTCTTTCCCTAGAAGCAGTTGCTTAGTCCTGTGAAGATGTATGTGCCCTACATGCAGAATAGGAAGCTGTGAGGGAGAGAAAGGGCGGAGGGAGGCATATGCAAGATCTTCACCTAGCCTTCGAGTAGTCTTTTGGAAACCTGGGCTCGGTTTGATGCATGCCAGCCGTTTAATGTCCTCCACATGGGACATGTGGTTAAAAGCATGGGCTTAGGAGTTAGACCACCTTCATCTGAATCCCCCTCTACCTTTGCTTTGAGAAAATTATAATGTCTCTGTTCTTCATTTTCCTTATTTTAAAATGGAGGGATGCTAGTTGTTATTCTATAAGGGTGCTGAGAGGATCAAAAGGGATATCTAGAGAGCTTAGCACAAGCTTGGCACATAGTAATATCTCAATAATTTTTAGCCATTGTTATTGTCTCGGGGTTAAGGCTGAATAATCTAGAAAATACTGATAATGTGCCATCAATGATACAGTATAAGTGTCTTGTAGAACCAGCAAGAGAGGCCCCACTCCTGTGGGTAGGCTGTAGTCTCTTCAAAAGAAGTAAAATTCTCACTGCACTCATCTCAAGATGTGGATCCCACGGGTGGATGATGGCATGCGATGTGAAAGATAAATAATGTGAGAAATGGGCCATAAATGAGTGAGGCAGAAATATTAACAATGAAGTCCCAGATCTCCTGGGAAAAATGGAGAACCACTCTCTGAAATTAATGGTGGGGCTTCTGAGATGCCAGAAATAAGACCCTCAAAAACATAAGAGATGAAAGCTGCTTAAGCTCTGGTTAAAGGAGAAGTGTCAGAATGACATATATATATATGATATCAGAAGCACATAGTAATTTACTATTATTACTCCTTATAAACTTATGACAGACAGGTATACCACATTCATTTATTATATTAAGTCAGTTTTATTTTTTAATGTTATATCTATTATTTATTACACTAAGTATCCAGTATCTTAATTCATGTTATTTCTGAACTTAGGTCATACTTTCAGGAGTTTGTCAAACTATTTAGTCATCACTACCTGGAACATTTTAGCACCAGGTGGCAGCAAAATCTGAGAGCTGAGATAAAATTCTTGGCAGGAAAGTAAACACCTAATTAAGAATTTATCTCAAACCTCAAGATGGTTAATAAAGAGTAGCAAATGCATTACTTCCCCACTCCCCTTCTTTCTATTAAGGTATCTCCCTCCCTCTCACTTTAGTGAGTGATTACCCCAATTGTGCATACACCCTCCCCCTACGTCCCCTACACTCATATATACTCTTGCAAACAAAGAGGATACCCACCAGCCAGCCAAGTGGATTGTGCTGGAACTTAGCTTCAGAAAGGCAAGAACTAGGATAGCCCAGAAAGCCAACAGAATAAACCAAATTGGAATCTATTAGGAAAATCCAGGATCTAAAGGAACAGAGACCAAGTTCAAACACCAATTCCAGAGGGCCAGAAGCAGAACCAAAGTCAGGTAACTTAATGAGACAAAGAGGAGATGCAAAGCAAGAGCAAGTAAGAAACATCATGGCAACTTACCTTTAGAGGTCAGCGAGGGCAGGTCCTTGCCTGGTCATTGTAAGCTGGCCTAAGGAGACAGAGAAGAAACTAGAGTCATGCTCTCTTCTGAAATGTATCCAGCTGTTGACTACAGCACCTCTACAAGATTCTCCATTCTCTATGGGCTGGCTAAAGAACAGAGTTCTGGGATCCTTCTCTGATTTTACCCTGTACTCGCTGGGTGATCCAAACTGGCTGTTTCCAAGCTCCCTCAACAGATGAGAGTCAGTGCTAATCTAGACTTGCCAGAAGAGACAGTAGTGATTTGGGATGGCAGTTTCAATGTGCTCTTATTTAAGAAGCACCGCCTTAGTCACTACAGATTTTATCTTCCTAGGGCCTAGTACTTAAGCTGTCAAACTGGATAGAGATGCATACTTTCTAAACACAAATACAAAATCATTTTAAAGTCCACTAAACAGTTTTTAGTTGGAAAGTAACTCAAAATTGCCGAGCAATGCTACTTTCAGGTGCCTCCTTAAACATGATATACTTTCAAATAGTATTTTTCAATGATTATATTTTATAAGCATTTAAAAAAAATAGCTGTTAGAGCTTTTAGGCATTTTCAGTCCTTTTTCCTACTTGTTATAAAGACCCACAATTCAGTCCTTGGAACATGTATCAAATTCTCAAATTAGATACCATCATTTGAAGAATCTCTAAGAGGTTTGAAAAGGGATTTATTGTAATCTTTCTTTATTCCTGAAGCTTTCCACACAACTGCATATTTCACTGTATGGCTGTAAAATGAATGTTCACGTCATATGTCTAAAGAAAAACAACAGTCTTTGTTTCATGGAGCATTTCAGAAGATTCACAGCTGTTAACAGGTGGGAGAATTCCAGCTTTTGCTCTTAGGAAGAAAGGGCCTATTGTCGTCAGTAACTGCACTTGAGAAGTAGCTGTGTTTATTTCTAGCCTTGCAAACCAAGAGGTGGACTGTCTTCACAGAGTGGATGTTTGTGGACAACTAGCTACAAGATGAAATCAAAGTACTCCATGCTAAAGAGTTGCTAGGTGCCCAGAGAGACCTCAAAAGTATCCTAGTATGATTTGCATGTTCCAGAGGCTTCACCTCTGGAACCTGATTTAGCAGCATGGTCAGAGCAGATCTCTCTCTCTCTCTCCCTCTCTCAGATGGATATCCACTAACATGTTCCGGTGCATAAACCAGGAAGCTTGTTTATTAATTTATAACTATGGACTTGGATCCTCTGATAAGTATATTCTTTATCTACAGGCAAATCTACATAGAAAGCCTAATTATTATCAAAAGTCTGCTGCACATAAGCATAGACTCAGGACAAGAAGAATTAACATATGAATCTTGTACTTACTAGCATTAGCTTTGAAATATAGCCCAATATACTTGTCTCCATCAGGAACGAGACGGATTGAATCCCTCACGGTTTCTTTATCTGGACTTGATCTAATGGCTTTTCTAGTTCTCACCTTTCATATTCAAGTTCAACTTGATTTCCATTTTCTGCTGGTGCCAATGGAAGCATACTAGGATCTCAAAGGATCAGACAAACCACTACGGTAGAGGACTGTGGCTCAAGACACATGAGGAGGAAGGAAGAGTGGCCTTGATTATGCTGCATGACTTTAAATCTCTAGACCCAGATATATTCTATCCCCTAACATGCAAGAGACACAACACTGCTTATTGCCTTCTGAAACATTCTGAGACATCATAGAGTTGAGGTGTATGAACTCTAGAAACAAGCCTTTGTTCTGAATTTCTAAATAGAGAAATGATTTGAGTCTGAAAAAAAACAACAGGAAAAGTAAGTCTAATATAAACCTCTGGGAAAGTTTAGGCAGATTGTTGAGCATAGAGAAGGCAGTGATCCCTAGATAACAACATGAGTTCACTACAAATGCATTAGCCATTCAACCAGTTCATCATTTATATTCTTGGTTGGGTTATCAGCAGATATATTTACTCATTGGTTTATCAGGTTAAGATCAAATCCAAATCGTAAAATCAACTAGATGGTATTTGATTTTCTTTCTATGTTCCAAATCAGTTAATATAATATTGCAGCAATTACTTGTTTTTCAGAAGTCTGGGTAAAACTGCAGTGAGTTCATCTTAACCTTGTGCTCACTCCACCTCCTGTAGTCACCTGAAGGCAACTTTGCCTTTATTTGGAGCATCTCTAAATTCCTCTTTTAGAATTCCCTTCTGAAGTTTACTTTGTGTCTTCAGAATAGATTTTTTTTTTTAAATTTTAGAAATAGTCAAGTCTATTAAAAAAAGAAAAAAGATAAACTTTGATCACCTAGTCAACTGAATGAGGGAGTAGGAAATGAGAAGGGCAAAGATTAAGGGTATACATATAAACCAAGGAAACTGATTTACTTGGGAGTCTTAGAAATTGGACCTAAAAGCAATCTCTAAACAGGGATTTTTATTTTATTTTATTATTAACCATTGCCATGCAAAATCATGCCATAAACATCATAAGTCTTAAGCAAAAAAATGCAACTAGGGCAAAACATTCAAACACTTTGTCAGTGACACGTTAAAAAAAAAAAGAAGCAGCCTAATAAAAACATGTGCAGTTTTGCACATGTTAGGTGATTGAGTTCTTAAATGCTGTAATAAATATGGAACCTCACTTTGAAAAAGACCTGAAGTTTGCTTGTGGAAGTGGGCATCAGAAGGGTTTTAGTCTGTGAGTTACTGTGACGGGCAGGAAGGAAGGTTGCTTTGTGTCGGGGCAGGGTCTCAGGGAGTCATCAGGGTGAGGCCAGCAATGTTTATCAGGCCCAAACAGACCTAGGTTAGGCCATGTGAAGGGAGGGCTATGCACTGTCTGGGCGTGGGAGGAAAAAATGGCCCTGTTTTAGAGCCACACGACCCAGTCTGCCCTAAATTCTGCCCGGACCTCCTGGAGAGCTCGAGCTGGGCAGGGCGGACTGCTACCAAGTGGGGACAAACAGGGCTTTTTTAATGGAGGAAAATGTCCTTAATACTTTCTAAGTTTTAAAGATTTTCTTGCTTTCAGATGTTTAAGAATGCAAGTTTAAAATGATAAGGGAGATGGAATATAGGAAGACATGCAGACTTTTCTATATCTCCCTTTCTTCTGATCTAGCAATGTAATCCGAGCATTACCAATATCTTGTAGTAACAGAACAGGTTTCACTCCATTTCAAACACATTTTATATGTATGATTTTTTAAAAATTGGGATAACAGACTTTATCTTCTAATGTTCTGATAGGCTATGAATCTTAGCTCTTTTATTTAAACTTAAATAGAATTTTAAAAACACATAAGAATAAAGATTTAGGTAGTTTTAGGTTTGTATCTTAAATTCTTTTGAAAACAAAATTCAAACTTTAACACTAAATGCAAAAATATTCAGTTACCAATAGGTCCATTTTATATTTGTGTAATATTATACATGACTTTAACCAAATTTTAAAAGTTAGAAGATCAGCAATAGTACCAGAAAGAAATGCATGAAATGGTACTTTTCTAATATGTCTCATCCATGCAAGTTTCCCCAGGGGACATTTCAAATATTCTTCACCAGCAGTCAATTGAATAAGAAATAAAAAAATAAGAAATGATCTTTTTTTATAATTTAACCTTATTCCAGAAGGACTAAAGATGACTTACAAAACTACATAGAATTCAACAAGATATTTTATTTTTTAAATGTTTTTACTGATTTCAGAGAGAAGAAGGAAGAGGGAGGGAGAGAGAGACAGAAACATCAATGACGAGAGACAGTCATTGATCAGCTGCCCCCCACTGGGGATTAAGCCTGCAACCAGGGCATGTGCCCAGACTGGGAATCGAACCATGATCTCCTGGTTCATGGGTTGATGCTCAGCCACTAAACCACGTTGGCCAGACATCAACAAGATATTTTAAAAGCAAGGGAAGGATAAAAAAGAAAATGAATGTGGAAAAGTAAGCCAGGGCTAAAGTGAGTGTCCATATTCATGCTTTGATGTCCTGTGTACTTGTTAAATTTGACTTAGGCATTCTAACAGCCATTGCAAAGAAGGACACAATCAGTTCCATGATTCATAAAGTTTTAGAAAATAAAGTCTATTTATTGGGGGGCAACATTCTAGGTTCTGAAGTCTGAGGATGGAAAAGCTCAATCGCCTGCTAGCCTAAAATATTTCCTGGTGGTAAACCAAGCTGGTTGAAAGTGGAATTATGTATTTGTCAGGAGTACTGGAAAATGCAACTCAGAACATTTCACTCCTCTGCTCTAAAAGGTTCAGCATCTCTCCACTGGCTATAAATTAAACTTCTTGGTCTGATATTTGAGAGGCCATCCCCCAAACCAAATCAAGATGAACGCCCCGAAGGCAGATGACATTTTTTTATTCAATACCAGAGTAGGTGTCAACCAATGCTCAAAGGTGTTATATAGAGGGATTCTGAATCAGCTAGGAAAGTTCATGGAAACCTCTCCAGCCCTCATCTCTCTACCTGTAAGGCCTTCTCCTGACATCTCTACCTGTTGAATGGTGGCCAGGATCTTCAAAGTTAATAATACTATCTTCATCACTGATAAGAGCGACAATAACATCATTTTGCATTTTCGTAGTGCTCTATTGTTGACACAAATATGTTAATCTATTCTCAAAACCAGCTTGCTTTGTGGTCCAAGTAGGGATCATGATTGTGCTCTTCAATGAGGAAGTCTTGTAGAAGGTACCTCCTTATGAAGTGGTAGATATCACTTCCTCCTGATGTCCAGAGCAGGGTGTGGTCTCTTCCTCTTCTTCAAACCCTTATGACGTTTGGTTTATACATTTCTTATGACACTTACTAATAGCTCCATACATTTTATATAGTGTGTCATAGTTTACAAAACACTTTCTCACGCTAAATTCCCATTTCTTTTTCTTTCTCACAACAATGTCTTTTAGAGAAAAAAAGTAATCTTCTCCTTACCTTGAGAACCCTGCTGCTCTCTCTACACTAAAAATATAAAAAGTAAAAGCTGTTCAGTAGCTACACCACCCGCACCTATTACCACAGTCATTTTATCACCCTCCAAGAACAACAGAAACTT